GGTCTGGACACTGTGGAGTAGAGAAAAATTTTGCATGGGCACCAACTGATGACAGTCAGATATTAGTATTATTATTATTATTATTATTATTATTATTATCATCTCTTGTCACAGGTTTATTTCCTGGTATTCCTTTTCTTGAAAAACTGATGCACCTCACCACTCAGGCTTCAAGCTTTGCACTGTAGCACTTTCCGTAGTACGTGTGATGTTCCCAGGATAGCTGTTTTTTGCAGTGAATCTATGGAGTGCTTACCAGGAATTAGTTCCAAATTACTTGCTGCTGCTGCTGCTGTTGTTGTTGCTGTTGTTGTTGTTGTTGTTGTTATTGGAGGGGGTGGGTTTCCCCATGCACCGCAACCAGTTTGATCTATTGTGCGTCCCCCTATAATCTTCTACCAGCCTCTATACCCTACCGGTATTGGTGCTTACCATCAGTCCCTACTTAGCCAGCGAGGTCGGCCTCTACTGGTGCAGAGGAATCTCAATGCTTCCCCCATCTACCAGAGAGGTGAAAACAGCACAGCAGCCTAGAGCAAACCCTGGACGATATAAAGAACGTCCACATCAAGATAACCAGGTGGCACAAAATCTGCCCCATATAAGAGGGACTATAGGAGGACGAACACGAGCCTGCATGGTTTACGAATTTTAATTATTGACAATACAAAAAATTTTTAATTAGCATCAAGAAATGTTATAAAATATTTTAAAAAACATTACATTCCCAGGAAACTGCTGTGTTTGTGAAATGTTCTATTTTGTGTACTATGTATTGTAGCGTATAAGTGTACATACTTTACGTCTAAACAACTTATGTGATGGTGGTTTCCTATTTGTAGTGATGTTTGCCCTCTGAAGATGGTCCACAGAGACCGAAACATGTAAGGGTGTTAAGTTTTCATGTAGTAAAAAACTTACAGGTCACATTGGATGGAGTGATTTATATTTGTAATTGTTAGTGTGACAGACCAGAATGAAACAAATCATAAACAGCATTGTTTATCTAACCACAGAAGAGTCTTACATATAAAATGATTCCACTTCATGGAAGAAAATTTTAAGGAAAACTAACTAATCACTTATCCATGTAACTTTCTTTCCCATCTTTTCACAATGACCCATTTTAGACAAACAGAGTGCTTTTTGGGAAAAACAAACACCAAACAATTCATATTTGCTCTTCCTCCATCACAACACATTGGCTCCAGAAATAAATTTTTCCTAGATGCCACATAATTACTAGAATCTTCAGTGTACCTTTTTCCTTTTTCTTTTTTTTATTTCTAGTGGGGTGGGACTAAGTCGCTTGTACTGCAGCCACTTTTGGCCTATTGTACCAGCCCCAGATGACAGGTGAGGGTGACTGTGGAGCAATTGGTGGAATCAGGATTGGCAGGGGAAACCGAAGTACTCGGAGAAAACCTGCCCCAGCATCACTTTTTCCACCACAAATCCCACTTGACCAGACACGGGATCGAATCCGGGCCGCCTCGGTGGGAAGCCAGCGACTAACTGCTTGAGCTATGGCACTTCAGTGTATCTTACAAACATGGTTCAATAAATCCACCTATCCACTCATCCATGATAAGTGAAAAATTAAGGCAGATGAATTGAAAATCTTTAAATGTATTAATTAAAATTAACTTCTGGGGGTACTGGTATCCTCTGCCGACCGTCTCTCTCACAATCACCCTACTGCGGGAGACAGAATCTGGCCTATTCTTCCCCCACTTCAGAAATAGATTCTGTGCTCTTGCCTAGCTCAAGACAGGTGAGAGAAAAGTCAATTCAGCCCATATGTGGAGGCACTAGAAATACATACATACATACCTTGGCTTCAAAAGTTTCCTGGCCATACCCATCCAGCTGCTGTGCAGCCAGAATGTAATACTCCTCTGCTGTTCCTTGGGACAAACCAGCCAGAGCTGCATGCTGAAGTATCACTGCTTCTGTCAAACTTTCCAGGTTGTCATCTGATATTAGGTGCTGGCATAATCACCAAACCAAAGATTAATTTTCATCAGCAATGTCCAAACAGAAAAATGTGACCTTACGGCAGTTCTAAAAATAAATAGCCAGTGTCTATAAAACCGAAATTAAAGGCCGTGGGGATTCGTTACACTGACCACCTGTATCCACTAAAGTTGGCACTAATTTTGCCACTAAGTGGCGGTTGCTCAGTCGGTATAGTTCGCTTGCAGATTAAAACCAAAGAGTTTCTTTTTGTTTTTTGTTTTCTTGTCTCAAAATTTACACTTGAGTGTAATATGCAATGGTACATAAATAATGGACTTTCTTAGAAGAAATGATAGAACAAAAATGTACACTATCTATGGTCTTGCACGCAAAATCATACACACGGAGGACAATGTTAACTGCTAACCTCAATAACATGTAGAACTTCAGGTTATTTAACAATGCTATATCAATTGCATACAGTAAACTGTGTTGAACTGTATGATAACAAATTAGAGAGGAAGTCAAAGCAAGCAGTTGTGGCCTATTTTAATGCAATGGTCAAGTATTCTGTCATAGGTGCTCATTGATGTTGCATGAAAACTTCAGTCAGGGACATAAAAATTCAAATCTGAGACAACTCAAATATAAAGCAGGTGTGCCGACTATTCAACCACAACATGACTCTATGTTGTCTTCCAATAATGCCTCAATTAGACCATAACTGCTTCCTTCAAAATACACACCAATTTATTATTCACCAGTCATCCTATCATTCAATACTATACAGCCTGGAGTTACTGTCAGCATCATTAAATAAACTACAAACACAACAGACAAGGCTAATGAAGCTATGTGCTAGTAGAGAGGTAGAGATTGTTGATGAGATCTGAATCCTCGTTCACAATCTTTCTAGTTCTCTGTTCTCTTCTTGACTGCATGAGAAAACTTTAATTTCTTAATCTGTGTGCCATTCCTGCTTTAATGTTTTGGCTTCTATAAGGAAGGAAAAGAGCAACAAATACTTATTCTTGTATGGAAAAAAAAATATTATCCTGAACTGTTTAAAGTGTTCTTCAATGCAATATTTAGCCCTATTAAAGTTACCTTTGGAAACAGTGCAAAGTCCTTCAGATATTCTGCCGTATGTCGTTCCAGATCATGATTTCCAAACTCAGCTGAAATGATTACACAGCACATAAGATGAATGTGTGAAACATGCGAGTAACTATACTGGGGTGATGGCAAGAAGTTCCATGAATGGTGGGGACAACAAAGCTAGTAACTTCTCTGTCTACTGTTGTACACCCCCCTTTGGTTCCGTTTGGGCTACATGCCAACAGCCAAAAACTCTTTGTCTCTATCAAAATTATCAAGTGGTTATCACTGCCAACATTCTTGTGAACAGGAAGGATAAATACCAGCAGAGAAGTATAGGGAAATACAACTGAAGGGGAACGAGAACACCTTGTGGGTGATGTGGAGGGGGGTTGATCCATGGGGCTTATTTGGCCTCAGTATAAATAAATTCATTGAAACATAACCTTTCTTGAGAACCTCATATTTGCTCATGCAGTTAAGAAATTGTTGGCCTTTTATGTAAACTAAGGGTTCAGTATCATTTTCACAAGAGCCTGCAAACTGACACCTATCCTGAGCTAAACAACTTCACACTCTACTGTTGTATTTTAGTGTCCTGTTGCACTGATTCATATCCATAATGTGTATATATAAAACTTAAAAAACATGTATGTATTAACTTATAAGAGCCAAGCGACGCCATATGACGTCATTAAAATAAAGTCAAGGGGACGAATGACGCCATATGTCATCGTGCAGTCCACGCGTGTGGCCGGCTTTTTAAAATCTACTTTTAAGTTATAAATTCTTTTTCTACTTGCATGATTTTTGGTCACCAGCTTTATAAGTTGTCTCTCTTCCCACCTGCATCGTCTAACGGAATGTTGGCTTCGTGTGGAAATCTTGGAAACATCCGGAAATGTAGAGTCCCACATCACACTTCATGCACTTTATCCGGACGGTTCTTCGTTTCCCACGCGAAGAGCACACTCGACACCTCAATTTCGAAGTAGAGGAAGTCAGCCAGTGCTGTTGTTTGATCTCCTCTATTCAAAATGACCCCGATGAAACGGCAGGAGTTCGACCCCTGGGCCGCTGAGGGCGAGGGGGGCCCCTTCCAGCATGCTCCAGCATGTTCCGCACAAGGGTGAGACGAAATTCTCTGTGTGACAATTTCGCGCCACAGGATGACAACAGGATATAACTGTTCAGAATCGTCAGATCCAGGAGATGGAAAAATAATTTATTTGTCCATTTCCAGGTTCGATGACAGATGCTATAACTGTTTGCCATTCTGTCTGCTTTGTCGACATAACCCATGTGCTTGTTGTAGTTAGCAACAATTGCTGGCTTGATGGCATTTCCATGCTCATCACAGAAACTGCCTTCTGCTGGAGGAGAGTGCATATTTGTCAGCATGTAAACGTCACGTTTGTCCTTCCAAACTAGTGCTGTCAAGTTCTGTCTCACCCTAACAGGAATGTCCCCTTTCTTCAGTTGAAATTGTCTTCGTCGAAAATTGTCAGGCAAGCCCTTCCGATTTGGTCTGACTGTCCCACAGCACATTATGTTCTTTGNCGTCAAACAAGTCGGGTGAAATTGTCCATGTACAGTTTGTGACCTACGCCCTCAATACGTCTGCACAGGTCCCTAACTGTAGCATGTGTCGCTGTCACTTCTTGGCTGGCACGTGTCCTGTCTTTTCCTAGGTAAACTTTCACGTCATAAGTATACCCAGCGGCGTCACAAATTTTGAAGATTTTGATTCCGAAACGTTTGTGTTTCTTAGGAATGTACTGCCTAAAAACCAACCCTCCCTTTGTATTTAACAATTATTTCCTCAATGGCCAAATGTTCGGAAGGGTTATAAT